GCTCCTATTAGTCATAGCATAATTTAATATAGCCGTCCACGATATTTATTTATTTATTTATTTTAATTTTAATTCGGATTACATCCATATTGTGTTAGTAAAAACCTTATAAAACTATGTTAGTAACTTATAATATACATATACGTAGATATATTTAATTCATATACTCGTATCTGTGTCCACGTCCAGAAGCACTGGGCCCACAATGATATATTGCGTCTCCAACATTAATTTTGAAAATTGGATAAGTATTACGGAGAACACCCCGAATCAAAACTCTATTATACCTATATATACAAAATTCTCGTGTCACAGTGTTGCAACTTCTCGGTATTGCCTTAGGTTTTATGTAATTTTTGGTGTATATTTAGTATTTCTGAGAATAGGTAGTAGATTTAATTTATTCGCCTAAATAAAAAGGATGGCCCTAACAGTAGTTTATTTTTTTCAAAATTTGATCTGTTATTTATTGCTAACTGTGCCCGCGGTGTAACCTGCGTGAAATTTATAGCCTGTATATTATTGTATATATGTATGTATAAACTGTAGTGTAATAGTTTTTGCGTGAAAGAGTAATAAATATCCATCCATACTCTCAAACATACCCATTTATAATATTAATAAGATTAGTTACTAAAAATAATTGATATAGCAAAACAACTTGGCCGGATCAGCTAGTATTAGTATAGACTTAAGATAAGGTACCAAATCCTTATAGACTTACACGGTATCATGTAGGAGTGCAGTTATCGTTGTCAAACCAGAGTCGTTGTCTAATTCCCTAACTTTATAGTTTATCATCCCCATGAGTTACCCTGTCACGGATCTAATTAACTCTAATTGCAATCGTGCTATTTTCCTTTGTTAGCAATTAGCTCAGTACACAAGTTCTCTGTACGCATGTTGTTTCTGTACCGAGATGGCCCAAGTGTATTTTTGGTTTATATATTAGGTACATCAGACGCATTGTGGAGAAATGTTTATGCGACAATTACATTTTGTATTATGAGGAAGGGGGGGAATCTATTGTTTTCTCTGCTGGTTTCTAAAATACAATACTGATGTAGAATAAAGAAATGTAGAATTTGTGTATGTAAAGTACTTATGGTTAAGGTAATGACGAGCGCCACTGACAAAATAGTTTGTAATAATAATAATAAACTCAGACGGTATCTTCGTCTAGTAATAGTTTTTCAGAACGGTTCTATAATGCGTGTAGGTATGAATAATTATTTTATGTAGAAAAAGCGGTGTACAATTTCTAATTATTATTATTTTTTTATTAAAAAAAAAAAGCGTGGGAAGTGTTTTCATTTTATAATATTCTTTTTTATTTAAATGAATGTTGGCTTTATTAGCAGCCAGTTACATATTTCAGAACTCATTGCTTATGTCGAATGAAGTCAATTAATGAAACTTTACGTGTGTATCTAGAAAATAACTTAACAAACATCCTAACAACGGGTTATTATCGGCACAGATAATATAATATTACATATTATCGTATGATTTTTAAAGGAAACAAACTCCAAATATTCTGTTCTCGATTAACAATATTCTCATGAAGTTACTGCCGTAAAAATCGATAAAGTAAATAAATGCAATACTAGGGGATACCAGTAAGAGAGAAGAGGAAAAAGATGTAAAGGCCCAATTATCTCGTCGTGCAAAATGTATGCTACGTTGATATTCCTATATAAACTAAAGTGCCTAGTTCTCAATATTAACATTTTCCCTCTTAGTCATTAGCAACTAGCAACACCCACATAAGGTGAACTTCTTAGTATTCTATAGATTCACCGTGCGGGAGGGGTTACATCGTGTGGCAGAGATGGAAATTCGACCATTTCCCGAGTCTTAGTGACCCGGGTGTAGGTTTAAATTTTGCCTTGCCCTTGCCGACGTACGTCAACACGTTCACCGCTCGTATTTCATTCCCTGCCCAGCCAAATTTGGCCACAATTATAATTACTAAGAGACTCTGAAATTTCAAAGGCATTTTGACGGCAGTTTCCGTGTGATAAAATCATGTACCTTAAATGCGGCGGCGTAATATGAGGTTTAGTTCAATATCCGATACTTTTGTATCATGTTCATAAATAGTAAGGCAGGGGTCCACACAATATCCGCCGTCACTCCAACAGGTGGGAGCGAATATGAAAGCGCTTTTAATTTTTGAACGGATACCTACATGATCATAAAACTTTACCGGAGTATTAATAAATATGAAATTCCATTTAGCTTTTAGTCTAAATTATATATCTTAGATTAGGGGTCCTACAACGTATTTCGAATAGTATTAGTTGTTCTAATTAACCAATCTACATACATATATTTTATTAGTTAGTTAGTTTAGTTTACTTTTTAATTACTCTTTTTTATCCAAAGTATTTTATTCTATACCTATAAAGGTTTAAACTGGAATAAATTCTACCTAGGTTATACCTTAACTATCGTAATTAAATGTTGTAAAATTTCTTTATATAATAGACGGAAAGATCCTAACATTATACTCGTGTGGTAAATAGGTAGTTATGCCAAGAGTTTTACATCACGAACAATTGAATTAAATAGAACTTTAGAAGCAATACTTAAATGTATACTTGTTTTAATTGAGAGAGAGAAATTTCTGTGCCAATAAGCTGTACTTATTTGCACAGAAATTTCTCAATTAAAACAAATATAGGTAATACTGATTTTCCAACAATAGCACGTAGAATGGTGTTATCTGCTTCTTTTAACGGTCTCAGAGGCCTAACGGTTTAGTACATCGCTTTATTTCTGATGGCCGCGACTCCGATTCCTCGCCCGATGCAAAAATTTGTGTAGTAGTATAGTGTAGTGTTTGTATGGTTCGATTTGGATATTTCCTATGCATTGCGTGAACTTTCCTGAATTATTATTATTATTGTACTATTAGATTATTATACTAGTGTATTGAACAAATTCCTGTGATAATAGTTGTTTATATAAATAAATAAATAGAATAAATATTATTATTTAATGACTCAAACGACGCGACGGTTGCCTAATGAACAAAACTTATATTTTATAATAATACTATACATTATATGACAATTATTAAAGAGGACTATTATAAAACCATTAGAACACTACCTCTATAAGACAAATGTGGAAATATAAATAAGTCCACACCACATAAATCTCCGAAGTTGTTAACAACAGCGATATTTATCGTTGCAACTAAATTCAGAAACGGAAAACTCGTTGCAAGGGGAAGTTGAACAAAACATGCCAATTTGCACGCAACTGCATTTCTGTTAGTCGAAATTCGACGTGGAAAGTAATTTCGCTATAAATTGCAAAATAATTAGGTGGAACATAAAATTAATAATGTGAACTAACATGGTGTAATTGACAGGCCAATTAAAACAGCCGGTGGGAATTTTGCTAGTTAGTTAGTTATGTCACGCCGTATTCCTATATCTGTTTATGATTTATGTTTATTAACTTTCTATTCCATACTCTAATCTATAGATTATTAGTTTATTAAATCAATACTATTATTATAGACAAGAAGCAATTTCAATTTAATAGATATTGTATCAGGAGCCATAGGCTAGGCTACCTTTTATTTCAATACATAGTCTGGAAGGTATGATATAGTGAATAAAAAATAAAATTCCTCTTGTATTATATATATCTTGAATCTATCTATTTAAAAAAACCTCTATAAAATCCGTTGCGTAGTTTTAAAGATTTAAGCATACATAGGGACGGACAGACAGCGATAGCGACTTTATTTTATACTATGTAATGATAAAATAGAACAGAAACATCTTTATTCAAATAACTATCTCCGATCGATCCCCGTCCAATTCAAACGGGGATCGTAATTACAACGTACGGGGTTCGAACTCCTAGTAGTGGCCTCAGAGTAAAGTCGTATCCATCAGGCGGGAATTGACCTTCAGCCGCTCCCTCTGCGGTTTTGGTGTGTAATCTGCACTTGCCCATTATGCCAGCTGCGGCCAACAGCATTAGCGTACTCCGAAAATAAATTCAAATAAAATTAAATTTTAAACACTTTTATTATTTTTAAATATGTAGATACAAGCTCTCCAGTTAAATTCCATTCAGGGTTGTCATGTTATGTGTTCAAAAACTCTGGTATTGTTTCAATTAGTCAGTAGAATATTGACATGACAAGTTACATTCTTTCTGAATATCCCGTGAGAAATAACAGTCGCGAAGTCTTATATTATTGAACAAATACCTCCCCTGTAATGAAAGCTCAAGGGTTGCCATATTATTTTCAGTACCTTTATGGTGTACTCTATAATATGGAATGTAAAGTGCAGTTAAATTGCTTCTGCAAAGAATTATTTGATGCAAAATAACAAGTAATTTGAATGTATTGTAACTATTCTTTATTTCACGTCTAATAATAAAACGTAATAGGTATTATGAAATTATTCATTGTAATATTATTAGTCTGTCCCCGACTTTGTGCAAAGTCATAGATTTGTTTCGGTGGTTATTTGTTAGGTGATATTTTAAAGTAATCAAAATAAACTAAAAAGTACCTTCTTTGATTATACTAGTACCTATATTAAATCGTTTTAATACTCATATATAAAATGTTGTATTACTGTCTCCTTTATGTTGTATGTACAACTATTATGGTAATATATTGCTCAACGAGATAGCTTTAACATTACATATTATAAAACAAAGTAGCTTATATCTTTTAAATTACGTAACGGATTTTAATGCTGAAAAAGCAATAGATAGAGTGATGAAAAGGAAGGTTTATATGTATAATACATGCGTGTTATAGTCTTTTCCCCCCAACCAAATGTGTATACATTATAGCTATATATAGAATACTTTGTATTTCCTTTCAGACATTCTGCGTGGTCTCGAAGCGGTTCCGCAAGAACTACATTCACCGGTTCACGGCAACCCGGTCCTTATTCTGGTGGTCACCGTGGTCGCCGGTGCGGCGCGCTTGCGTCTACTTCTCCACTAATCAGTACTTCGATTACTTCGTCATGGCAACCATACTGTTCAACTGTGTCTTCCTCGCCATGTCGGAGACCATTGAAGAGGCTGAGTGAGTATATTCAGTTATCCTTATGTGACATATAAATACATAAACCAGCGGCATCTTTCAATACACAATCACAAGAGGATATCCCACCACACTCTGAGGACTAATTTTGGTGTTTTTTTTTTAACTTAGATGAGTTACATTTACATAGTATAAAACAAAGTCAGCGGAGCTTTCGTTTCGCTTATATCTTTTAAATTACAAAACGGATTTTAACGCAGTTTTCACCAATTGATATAGTGATTCAAGAAGAAGGTTTGTATGTATAATACATGAATGTTAAAATACAGAACAAGACGAGAAATTCAAAGATTTGTAATGCATCCGTGCGAAGCCGGTTCGCGTCGCTATAATAAATTAACATAAAAATAGTAAATATACCTATATCTCTCAGGACAATTTACATTGTGACATCGAGTCCCAAACTAAGCTTACATTGTGATATGGATACTAGACTACGGAAACCGAAGTATATACATTATTTTTACTATTTGTTCTTGTCTCTTAACTTGTTATTTATGTTTTAACCTTCGATTTGAAAACGGAGCATATGTTTTATCTTTGACTGTCTCTTTTATAGAGGTATTTATTATAATTGACAATTACAAAGCAATTTTTCTGATTCTGTTCCTACTATACTGTATTAATTTTAATATGATGCACTTTATTAGCAAGATACTTATTATTAAAATAAAATCTTATCGAAGTATAGTACTATGTTTAATTAAAAATCAATGAACCCAATGTTACTTAAACAAATCTCTTGCTGACTAGTAAGAAAACAAATGTAGTTACAGATTATATTAAGTACGGAATCCGGTTTTTGTTCACATTGCCAAGTTTGTTTACAAAATCGTAGCCAAGAACCTATTAAAGTTTTTCCATTAAATTTAAAACGAGGGTGAGTTCTAGTGGGATTATGACACTATTAGGTATGATGACTAGGTATTACCGAAGTTAAAAAGTCTCTTTCTCTCTTACGTAATTATATTGAATGACATTTTAAACAAATAAGATGCCAGGTTTCAGGATAGACTGTGTACGGTATCTCTGTTTTCCCTATTTCTGTCGCTAAGCAGCTTATTTCGTAATCTGTATTTCATCTCATGAGTGAGATATGGTAGTGAAATTACAGAATTATAGAATGACAGTATTTCGAAATGGCTAATCATGAGAACGTAATGCTGTTTACGTATATAAGCGACGGTTATCATTTACCATCTGGTCCGCCGTGAGTCCAGTTCCATAAAATAAAAACACAAAATTAAAAAGCATAATATCTATTCCACGCATTAACCTACAATATCGTCTATTTCTATTCCAAATTTCATTCCAATTCATCTAGTATTTTTGACATGAAAAACAATCCATTCTCATGAATATTTATAATATCACTAGGATTTATATCTTACAGTGGAAACTGGACTTTATTGTGAACAAACGGTTTATAACCATCGCTAATGTTGGCAGTTCCCGCTCTACCCGCTCTTTGTAAACCGAGGCTCCATGATTGATGAATCAATCATGAACCCCGCGCTTACTTGCACTTATGTCGAGCGACAGACGGTTATCGTCGGGATCGTTAGTGACAAATAGCGATAGAATAAGGCCGCTGTGACCTACATACCTGTGGAGAATACTACAGGATCTCCAGGATTATACAACTATACAATTGAATATAAATTACGATTTAAGGTAATAGTAGGGGATACGATATAAGTAATATATACCCTCATCATTCATTTGATAATGACAATGCTTATATAATAAATAATAAGTATATTTATAATACATAGGGTAGGTTGGCTAAATCCTGGATATAATGACAGCAATCAAATAAAAGATGAGCGTATTCCTTATACCATACCATTGTAGGGTAAAATCTCTCATCCTATTAAGGGTTTATTAACTGGTAGTAACTAGTATGTGAATTTAAGTATATTAATAAATATGTTTTTCATAACTATTGTACTACTCTTAAATTACATAAAAAAAAGAGATCTCTTTAAATTTAACGGTATTATTGTAAATATAGGATATATTTACCAAAACAACGAATTTTTCTGTAAATCTCATATAGATTCGAGTCAATTCCGGAAACAAAAACCGTTTTAAACAATAATTAACTATGTATTTTTTTAACGGTGTAATCAAATAAAACATTTCTAGAGATTCGAGACTTTCAATATTGTTAAAAGTTTTGGGATGCAATATTTTATACTGTCCCTAAAAAACGATACGACTTCGGGCAAGGAATCGAAACCGCGACCGAAATAAGACGGTGTGCTAAATCGCTAGACCACGGAGGTCATCATATATAAAATTACCAAGCATTCAAGTATACAGTAATAGTAATAAGTAATCATCAGTTCAGCCGTATACATAGTCACGATTGTTTCATTCAAGTATGAGCTACCCTAACAAAGTATCAGTGCCTTTTGCACGGAGATACTCGAGACCGTATTAAAACGTGCCAAAACTGAACGGGTGGCACTGTGACCTTTTTTTATTATTTTAAAGTGTTTTTTATATAGAAGTGCGACTATTTTCTGCAATCAGGTATGCAATGTGCGCCCCTAGTGCGAAGCGACGGCACGTGAGTGGTATTCCAAGACCGACATTATGTGACATTTCTCAGTGGAAGCTCCAAGATTATAGCACATTAAACTACTGTTATCCAGCGCTAGTGAAAATATAATCTGTGTCACTGTGCACTTAAACACCTAAGTAGTCAGAAATATACATATGTATAAAATTAAAAGTTCTTTCTTTGTTGGACTGGAGTGGCGAAAAAACTTACTCGATAGATATCAAATCACTGTATGATGCCCATAATACTCATCTGTTGCTATTTCGGACTAGTAATTTCACTACTATGTAATAAAGAGTAAAGTTGTATAATTTTGTATATGATGTTAATACTCAAACCACAGAAACTCCAGTGTTTTATTTATTTTTGAAAATGGAGATTCTACTATAATTATATAAATTAATAATACATTTGATATTTCAAACTCAAACTTTTAAAACGAAATACTAATAATATCATTAAAAAGGAAATAGCATCCGTGTAGCAATAAGTGCTCTTATCCGCTCTATCCCAGATTATTTTAAACAACAATGAGAAAAATCTAAATTGATCTAGATAGTTCTTCTTTAGTAATTTAAATCCAGCTTGGCAGAGGATAAAACTACTACCGTCTCTATTTATTTTAGTATTTAGTTTGTTTATCAAAAACCGGGTTTGTTTACCTTTTCTCTAACATTTTGTATTCCGAGCTACGATATGCAAACGAAGTTCTTCAAACATTTTCATTTTATATAGATATTACATGTTACCCACGAGTTTGTTTGCTAATTTGAAACTTCAGCTGTTTCATCGCGAAAAGGTAACAAATAGGCAACCAGATACACTTTCGCATATAGTATTTATAGACTCAAGTTCATAAATAAATAACCCTGGACAATTAATACAGCACAGTCTAGTTCCACGGTAAGCAGAGCTTGTGTACGTAAGCTTGTGTGTGGTACTAGACAACTGATATAAATATTTCGATACTTTTTTGTAAATACATACATAATATACATTGAAAGCACCCAGACCGATACAAACAGTCATAGTCATGAATACAAATGTTTGCACCGTGCAAGGTATCGAATTCATGAACATCAGAAGCAAAGCGGTGTGTTAAACCGTTAGTCCATCGAGGCCGTTGAAGTTATTCATACATTTTTATTTAATATATACCGATGCTTCCCTGGCTTCGCAGACGTATTTCAATTACTTTGCGCAAAACTTTAACATCTGAGCCTTCCTCAGAATACACTGCGTAAAAGCATGAAACTTCATGAAAATAAATTTAGTAGTTTTTGAAATTATCGCTAACATACATCCAGACGCTGGGTGACTTTGTTTCATAATATATAAATGACTGTATAAAGATGACTACCATAACATTTAAATTGACGTTACCTGTTTGTAGGCTAATTTACGTTGTTCAAATATTTACTCACGTCAATAATGTTGGAAATTAGCTCAGTGAGGGTTTCGTTCGCGCATTTATCGTCTCTGTTGATTACATAGTAATTAAGAACCTGAAACCAAGTAAATTATGTTGGGATAAGTATAGTGCCATAATATATATAATAAACTGACTATTATCCCGCAAATTTATCTGCTTTTTTGGGATATAAATAGCCAATGTCACACAGTATAAAAGTATCAAGTGTTAATATATAATAATTTAATAAATACGAAATGGTCCCTTTCGTATTTCGTATTTATTAAATTATTAACGTTTCTTAACGAGATTTAACGTCAAGGTGTGTTATACACAAGGATTGATAAAGGATATTTTTATCTCAATAAAAGCAGTCGTAATCACAGGAAACAGCTAGTCTACAATATGATCTAACTGTGTTGATTCGCACTTTGGTCGCCGAACTGTCAACACTAGGCTATACCGAGCTCTATTCAATAACAGTTGGAATTCATTCACCAATAGAGATGGTCGTAACACTTTCAATAGCGATTGTTTGGTTTTCACGCTGAATATTTGTGTCTCACACACGCTAATGGTAGTAGAATTAAACAAAACAATGTAAATCTGTTGAATAATAACATGGACTTCCGCAAAATAACACCTAATTCAATAACATAATATATATGTATGTGTAACATATTTTAATCTAATCCATCCAATAATTTTTCTATGAAAGACAACAGATATACTTTCAAAAACATTCACTGTGTATAATATTAGTTGAATTAGAACCTAATTTTAGTGGGAACACATTGAACAAGCAATAATACTTTATTATGTAAATCTCAATAAACAAAACAATTAAACAGCAGTAATAATTGGTACTCGAATGAACCAGAGGATCTAAAAACATTTACATGAATAATAATAGGATTTGTTTCGTATAACCCTGCGAGTTTTATACGCCTCTCGCTTTGTGAGGACTAATACATTTTTATTGGCGGCTTTTATATAAAGCAT